CACCTTCCTTCGGTGTTGGGAGGCTGCAGCGGGCTGTATGATAGATGCACTTCTTGGGGCGTCTGTGCCTGAGCATTCCCCAGTGTCGGGGTGCTCCCTGTCCGGCCCGCTGCCGCTTCTGCTCAGTGCTCAGTCCTCCTGAGGGCTTTAAAATACTAAAATAAAGGTGAGGTTTGGGAGTACAGCAATGGTGCTCCTCTGCTTCCTGATACCTTCCTTTGGAATGCAAATTCTTACTTGTTTCAAGGAATTGATGTTTTTGGAGAAAACTGCATCTGGATTCTGGCAGGATGGGGAGTGAGAGCACGCAGAGCCCTGCAGGGAGGTACAGGACCCCCCATGAGCCTCACAGAAACGCTGGCGAGGGATTCAGTCCTTGGCCCTGGGGGAGAGTTATTGGTGTTATCGGTGTTGATCTCCACGGATAGAAATGCAAACAGCAGCGGGTCCTGAACCAGGTGCATGAGGGTGGAAGCCTTGCCCAGCCTGTGCTCGTGAGGAAGGCGGGCTCTGCCAGGCTGACCACAGGAGATGTGCTGGCATTAATGTACTAATCTCGGCGATTGAGGGCTGCCTCTTGCTTTTATAACTTTTCATGCACTGTTAAAAGGGAGAGGAAGGAGTACTTGTTTAAAAACTAATGAAGAAGAAGTATCAAATGCTCGCTTCTGGCCAGGAAAATAATTATTTTGTTATACATGCCAGTTTGATTTCAGAGTTGATAGAGCAAGCAATAAATATTGAATAAAAGCCGATCCATTTATATACAACTTATCTGCCTGGGGTTTTATTGTTTCCTACCATCTAGTGTTCCACTTGAATGATTCTCCAACGCTTCCATTTCCTGAGAGCTGATTTGGAAAAGGAAAAAAGCAATTCCTGTCAGCCTTCATGTGTATCATGACATACGTTGGTGGATCCTTAACGCTTGCCATCCCTGGTCCTCGCTTGCCGTGGCTGGTCCTCACCCACGGTGGTGGGCTATCTCCTTGCACTGCTCCCACCAGGCTCTTGGCACTCGTTTCCCTCGCCCTGCTCTCCACCCACACAGCTGGGGTGGTGGCACGTCCAGCAGATCTAGTGCTGGTCTGGGAGATGGGAAACCAGGGTGTCCCGGTGCTGCATCCCCTCTTGAGTGACATGAAGCCATTTTGCTCTTCTGGGCTCAGTTTCCTCATCCATCAGTTGGGATTTGGGCACTGGCCTCTTCGTTAAGTGCTTGGCCATCTGCAGATCAGAATGCAAAATTTCTCTCCTTGCAGCATGCAGGTGTTGCCTGGAGCTGAGGCTTTGACCCAGTTGCTCCAGGATCTGAGATGGGGACAACAGAGAAGAGGAGGGTGAGGGGAGCCCTTATCGCTCTCTACAACTGCCTGACAGGAGGGGGGAGATGGTGGGGGTGTCAGGCTCTGCTCCCAGGGAACGGGCGATGGCACGAGAGGAAACAGCCTCAAGTTGTGCCAGGGGAGGTTTAGATTGGACATTGGGAAAAATTCCTTCCCCGCAAGGGCTGTCAAGCACTGGAAGGGGCTGCCCAGGGAAGGGGTCGAGTCCCTATCCCTGGGGGTATTTAACAGCTGGGCAGATGAGGTGCTTAGGGCCAGGGTTTAGTGGTGGGATGGCAGGGTTAGGGGAACGGTTGAGCTTGATGAGCTTAAAGGGCTTTTCCAACCTGAACGATTCTGTGGTTCTATGACAGAGCTGGCTGTGATGGGAGAAGATGGGCTTTTGCAGGAAACAGAGGTGGGGAACAGTTGAGTCCTCCACCGAATATGTACCTCTCATTGATGGATAGGAACCATGCCCTGGGGCTGAAGAGCACCGTTGCCCTGCCTGCGTGCTCCTGGGAAGGTCAAGGGGTAGGTGGAGAGAGGAGCTTGGTGGAGAAAAAGCCCAGTAGATACGGCCATGCCTTGGGGTGCAGGGCATTGGGCTTCAGATGGGGTTCTGTGTTGGTGCCCAACCCATCTCCTGATGCTCAGCACTGAAGGTCGGAACTGGACCAGCTCCTCTGGAGGGATTCAAAATCTTGGGGCAAGGCAGACCATGCTCTGCTGGCTTCAGCATCCTCATCTGGTGTTTGCAGTCACTCCCACCTTGGGAAATCCAGGCTTGGACTTGGTGGTGGGTAACCAGATACCACGTTCTGCCTGTGAAGCAAACAAAATGACACCTGCGGCTGGGGGGGGGGGGGGGAGCTTTCACACTATCTCTATGAGCTTTTCTGGAGAAAACCCTTCCTGAAGCCTTTAAAAGTCCAATTTAGGTTGTGTCCTCTTGTTTGCTTTTCCTTGAAGAGATGCTTCATCTCACAACCTTCAAAGGAGGGGAGGGCAAAAAAGAATAGGTTTGCATTCTTGTGATTTTCAAAAGGATGCAACAGGTTTTTGGTGACTTTGTTGCTTGATCCCAGATTAGAAATGGAGCTTTAAGCAAGGCTGCTCCAGCTGGAAACAAATAAAAGGGAAGCTTTGGAGATGTGTTCCTGCCACTGGTGTGCAGAGGGACCCACGCTGGAAACCCCTGGGGCTGTTTCTCAGCAGCAGCCGCCTGTGCCCAAGCCCTGTGGCAGGACTTGCTCACGGCTCCGGTGCAGCCTCCTGGATGTTTGGTGACAGCAGAAGAATAACATGGTTTATTGAGACGAGGCTACGGACTTGGGCTTCTAATGAAAACAGGAATTAAGGTTTTGTTTGAATTCCCAGGACACGCAGGATGGATGCATAATTCATCCTGATCAACATGTCGTGGTGACTTTGTTCTGACAGAGGCTTTAAAAAGATGTTTTCTGACCTGTTGGGGCCTCAAACACATTTTTTCTGTTAGTGCCTGGGAAAGGCAGAAAGGCGAGGCTTTGCTCTGCCGAGATGGCTAACGACGGGGTTCTCAGACTGGCCCTTTGGGTAACATTTCATGTGTCACGTGGGTGAGGAGTTTGATTAGAAAGAAGTGGATTTGGCAGTGTTCTGCCGTGTGTGGAAAGCTTTTCTGTCTCCCTGCCCCACCAAAGGAAAAGGAAGGTTCAAATGCCAGAGCCACCGATTGCTAGCTTTGGGCAAGTGGGGTGGGAGAGCCCGGCTTGCCGGGGTCCAGCGTGGTTTCGCCATGCTGCTGGCTGCTCTGATTTCCTGGCACGGGGCAAAGGATGCTCAAGCTGCCCCTTGAGCCCACGCTGTGGGGCTGCGGGGTTGCGTACCTGCAGTGGCTTCTCCAGGTGTAGATCTTCTGTGTTTCCCTGGTGCTCACCTGGAGAGACATCCCGGGCTTCTCCTTCCCTTGCATCTCCTCCTGCATTTGTCCCAAATGAGGACGTGCCTGGAAGTTCAGCTGTTTCCAGTTGTTATTTCATCAAAAATACAAGTGCTGGGGGAAGTTCTGATACGTGTTAGAGGTGCTTACACATCTGAGTGCCCTTGGTAAGAAGTCCCTAGCTCCTATGTGAGGATAAAGATCTTGAATGGCTGCTGGGCCTTTTCACACTCCTGTATTTCTGGAGGTCGGCTGTGAGCTTGGTGCTGAGCTTAGAGATGGGATCAGGCTGAGAGCAAATGCTCCGGGTCCGGCCTTCAGTGGGAATAGGCTCTTTCCACTCTTTTCAGACCCACCGTGTCTTCTTTGGACAACCAGCCGCCTGCCAGAAGGACATGGAGCCAGAGGGATCAGAGAAACCCATTTGCTTCTCTGCGGAGCGGCAGGCGACAGCCCCGCAGCAGAGGTGGTGGCACTTGTGACCCGTTTGGCTCCGCAATAAAGATCTGAGATTTCTGACCTCCAAGGTGTTTGTGAATTCATAAATTACCAGCGGCGCTAAGGGCGTGGGTCATGCGCGCTGACCCCTCGGCAGCTTGCAGGGCCTTTTGCCTGTGTTTTCCTCCCTGGAAGTGTTTTGCTGCCTCTGTTTCCCCCCACCTCCGGCTTCTCTGTGCCACCAGCCCTTGCCTGGGCTCAAGTACCCGCGGCTCTGGTAGCGCCGACACCACAGATGCCCCATGGGGGTGGGTGACGGAGCCCGGACCCCGGCCGGGCAGAAGGGGACGGCGCTGGCAAGCAGCCTGTGGATGGGGGCAGAAAACGGGTCTGGAGTGGGGTTGGCAGCTCCCCTGACCCCAGGCTCTGGCCGTCCCCTGTCCCCTTTTCCCCATGCCTGTCCACTCCCTCTGCGCAGGTTCCAGAGGTTTCAGCATGCCCTGGCTCTACCGCTGCAAGACACTGTCTTCTCTGGCAGCAGAGGAAGGATGGGGAGCCCAGGGGCGATGTACCCCAGTCCAGAGCCCCCAGCAATCCCGCAGAGCCTAGAGGTGCTGCGGGGACCCCCCTCCCACCTGCCGGGAGCCCGCGGTGACCCCACTGTCCCCAAGGGCCGTGGCAGGGAGCGCTGCTGGGGGTGCTGGTCGGACACACGGCTGGGGCTGACGGTCAAAACCACCTTGCACCCTGCCAAGGGGATGTTGGCAGAGACCCAGAGAGGTGGAGGGGACACTGTCACCTTCCCACCCAGGTCCCCATCCCTCGGGCTTGCCGGCCCGTGGTGTAGGAGGAAGCAGAAATCCTTGGAGATTTTTACAGTTTACAAGAGTTTATTCAACTGGTTTCTGACTTTAGTTCTACCGAGTGGGTGCTGAACAGTTACAAGCTCCTTCGGGTTCAATTACAGCCAATCTAACGAAACAAACAAAGGAAGAGGAAAAAATAAAAAAAAAAAAAAAAAAAAAAAAAAAAAAAAAGGAAAAAAAAAAGAAACAACTTGGAAAAACAACAAGAAAATCCACAACTTCTTCACGTGTCATTAAATATATTCATATATAATAACCATAATATATTAGTATGCATTGTAAAGAAACATCGCCCAAAGCTGTATGCAATGGTCATAACTAAACA